CCCTCTCCTCCAGGAACAGGTCCGAAGTGTCCTCGCCGGCGAACTCCTGGAGCGGCGGCGGAGGAAGGAAACACAGCGGTCAGCTGAAGGTCACACCGTGTCACTACAGCCTGCACACACATGTACCTACCACAGCTCCTGCTTTACTTTAGTCTCAGCTCTTTGCTGCTTCATAATAAAAGCATTTAAACATCAACAACATCATCTGAGGCTTTTATTGTGAAGAATTCATAGGAAGTTAAATGTGGAGCTCAGTGTGTGAATGCCTACATGATCATTGTTCTTTGACCCCCGGGGGCCAACGTGATGATTAAAGACAGAACACAGCCCCGCCCACGACATTATTATTAGGTAATTATGGTTTTATAATTGTTTCATATGAATTTAAACTACTTTTCACAGGAATTACAATAAAACAATTCTGTTCCTGATGTTAGGGAGGGAAATCGTTTAGGAGTTTGAGTCTGACCTCCACAGACTGAGCAGCTGAGCCCAGATCAGCTGAACACTGCAGTTAGACTCCAGACTAAAGCTTTTTGTGACTCTGGGAAAAACAGTTGAACTCTGAACTCTCTCATGAACCAAACCACACACATTTATTCTGCTCTGTGTGACCTCCTGATAAAGTCACTTTGGGAAGTTTACAGTTGTGATATTGAAGAGAGAGAAAATCTATTTCATTCACAACGTTTGAAACAGTAAATGTTTAACATTTCTGCTCAATAATTAACTTTAAGAATGAACTGGTTCTGAAAATTGCTGACAATAATTGTCTGACAGCGACGGCTTCACACAAGTAATTTTAAGATTATAGTTTGGAAAATAACCACTGAACTGGAGCAGGAGGCCCTGAACTCATCAGTGTGTCGCTGTGACACAGTTAACAGCGGTGAGCTGGCACAGCGGCCACAAACCTCTCACAGACGTAGAAGGACAACCTGGCCATGCAGGAAAATGTTATTTGTGGAAACAACAGCTAAGCAGCTAACTATGTTGTCCCTGATAACCTCTGTGTGAAGAGACAAAGCTGGCCGCAGCTCTCCGCAGCTATCCGGGGCCGTATCACACTCAGACACTCAACCGACCACCAGGAGCTTTAACTGAAACCGTCTCTGTTTCATACTGATGCCTCTGTGTGACCTACCATCAGAGAGAAGACTGGATGTTTCTGTGCAGTTATTCTTAAAGCCTGTCACTGGGTCAGACTGGAGGAGAAAACACTACCGCTTCTGTCCCCAGGGGCCGCCAGAGTCAACAGAAATGAAGGTTCAGCTGCTTTAAAGGCAGTGAAATGCCTTCTTAACCCTTAAACATCACAACGTAGCCCCGTTTAACAACGTACGACAAACAGACTGACAAAAAACAAACTACTTCTTTGTGGTTTTAAATTAAATCCAATCATTGTGTCTTCCTGTAAAACAAAATGCGATAATATCCGGACATTCACCGTCAATCTTCAGCTTTTAGCCACACAGAGCGAAGATTCATTAGTTAGCCTCGTCTCTCACCAGCAGGAAACCTGTACATGTGCTCTGGTTTCTGTTCTTTAATCCCCCCCCAGTACGAACAGCGAGCTCTGGCCAGTGTGCCGGGCTTCACTCCAGAGAGGAACTGTATTAGTGTCATAAGTAGCACATCGTACGCTGACAATCTCACCTTTATCTGGACGAGGAAGTCCCTAAGGTGCTCCTTGAAGGCAGGAATGTCCTGGTTTAAGCTGAACAGGCCGGTCACAAACACCTTCACCTGAGCACTAACACACAAAAGGCAACACAGCACAGTGGTGATCAACACACGCGTACTTCACCACAACAGAGATGGCGTTGGCTCGTCCTCCTACTCACTCTTGTAGGTGGGGGAAGGCGGTCTTGAGCAGGTTGGCCACGTACTCCTGGATGAACACCTGGTTGTTGGTGGGGCTGGCGGGGTTTAGCACTGTAGTGATCTTCCCCTCCTCCACCAGGTTGAACATGTAGGCCAGGATGGACGCGTGCATCGTCAGACCTGCACGACACAAACACTTTCACTACACAAACTTTCAGACAGCCGGGGGCTCGCTCTTCAGATGTTGGTGTGGGAGAAGCAGTGTGTTTAAGGTGGAACTGCTTTATTCAGTGTGTTTAGTGGTTTTAATCAGCAGGTCTGTTTGTTTTGGAGAGGAGGAGACCTCTGTGGGATAATTTGGGCTCCCGGTAGAAACCTCCTGAACCATTGAACACTGAAGGAATCGCTAACCGGGAGAAGCTGGACTGCAATGACGCCAATGGGGGGGTGGAAAACAAACAACTCCCATGATTCCCTCACACTGCTTCACCATGTCCCCAAACTGTGTCTTTTGTTATAGTTCTGATGTGAGACCTTCTCAGCAGCACAGTTACACTGTAGGACAGACAGACTGACAGACTGCTGCTCTCCGTTCTCCGTTCCTATCTGAGCGCTCTGTACGTCCGGACCCCCCCGCTCTCCCGTGTGGAAACTCACCAGCAGTATGCGATGTGTCGGTGACCACGGAGAAGATGTGTTGTAGGATATCGCAGAAGTACGTCTGGTAGAAACTCTGAGCGGCTGCTTCCTCCTGGGCCACGTTCTGCAGCAACGTGTAGAGAATCTGCAGACCTGGATGAGCAGAAACAGAATCTGTTGTCACAACAGCTTCAGCAGACCTCCACACGACTGCAGGGCCACGAGCGTGATGCGACAGGTAGATACTGAGAGTGTCACAGTGCACCTGCAGCCTGTGTTTCTGCTGACTGAAGATTATCCCAACCTGCAACACTCGCTCCTCGTGACGTGACCGAACACGGCTCCCAGATTGTTTTACATCATTCAGTATTCACGCTGCAGGCGTTGTTGCTCAATATCCAACATTAATAGTAAATGTGTGTGCGTCAGCGGGCTTTACCAGTGTCAGCCACGTTCCTCATGGTGTGTTTGAAGGCCCAGATGATGGAGTCCAGCACCAGCTTGAACTGGGCCGGGGGGATGGCGAGGAACGCGGGGAAGCAGTGGGAGTTTACAGCTTGGAGTAAGTAGAAGAAGTGTGTCCTGTGCTCCGGATACTCCTCGAAGTTCTAGCAGGAAAAGACAACAGACAAGTTGTTCAAATGTTTCCCCGTGTTTGTATTGTTTCAGGATTACTCCAACCCTCAGTGGGTTGTGTTTATATTACACATTCTGCCGGTTGCAACAGGTTCCATTTAAGGCTTTTAAAGACTATTCTGAATGTAATTAAAGACCTATTTTACGCCCATTTAACGATCAGAGTTTAGACCTTTTACGACGAGTGTTGCAGGATCTCTCTTTTCTTCAGAAGTGAAAAATGGAGCACGAGGAACTTCCTCTGAAGGCTTTCTGCAGGCTCCGACTAGTTTGCCTCATAGTTTCAGAGATGACACCAACAAGCGGTTGAAAACTTGAATCTCTGATGTTTTTTTTTCTTTCTGCAAGTGCAGTTCATAAAAGTTCACATACAAATATCACAGAACCTCTGGTCGGGTTTTCTGGAACTCCAGTAATTGTAAAATACTGAGAAAACTGGATATATTTACAGCCCACCATGAAACCTCTGATAATAGCCAGTGTTTATTCACTGAACTCCCCTTTAGCTCTCAGATTGAGCTTCTTCTCCTCCGATTTGACAACAGCTTGAATTAAAGTGTTTTCTCTGCCAGTCGAGAGTGCTGCGTCTATTTAAGACTCTTTATTAGAAGCTTTACGGCAGATCTGCCTATAGGCTGTAACCCACTCAGACTGTATTGTGTTACTCGTGTCAACTGATATCTTAACCATCTTCCATCAGGTCAAAGTGCACAAACATAATCACAACGCTGTATTTGACTGATTAACAGACTGCAGTGAAGGCCACTTGATATAGATTGCTTATCTACGCACAAACCTGCTAATTAAAATCTTTGTTTACTCGATGACTAAGCTGCTTAGTGACCTGCTGCACTCCAGTGTTTCAGTGTGCCTCGTGTCCATGATGTCGTTCAGATAAACAGAGATCATACAACCCAGCGTCACTGTCAGGTAGCCGTCTCACCTTGTTGATCATGTTCAGGGTGCACTCGAAGACGGCGTCAAAGATCTGGGGTATCTCGCTGGTGATGTGTCCCCCCAGCTTGTTGACGATGGTTGCCATGGTGCTGAGGACCTCGGGCTCGCGGGCGGCGGGGACGTTGCGTTGGTAGTCGATGAGGACGGCGTCCAGCAGCGGTGGAACAAAGTTCTCCCCTACCTGGAAGACAACAGGAGGCGTCAGCGGGGATCAACACAGCAACAGCAGCTTTAGAGGAAGAGACGTCTCCGTTCTGACTTTACAAAAAGGTGCAC